GATGAAGGGTTTAGGCCTGAAACGTCAGCCTTCCTGCTCCTATGATGCTGCTTGGCCTGCTGTGTTCATCCAGCTCTACACCGTGTTATCTCTGCCTTTTGTTAATTACTTGACACTATGACTTGGAAAAACAGGAAGAAGTGAAATTGATAAAAGCTGAAAGCAAAGTTAAACTGATTCTTATTGAAATTAGAATTGTGCAGAGAGCAGAACATAATGTATGACTAGCATAGATTTTTTAATCAAGCAAAAAGTTAAAGAGGGATATCTGTTCTATAGTTTAGTGCAGTCTACTAAGTAATGTGAAGTTGATGTTGATTTTAGTTTGTTTGGACAACAAAAGTCTTAAAGTTTGAAACCTTGTTGCATAATTCCTTTAAATTGGTCATTGGAAATTCAAATCCCAAATCTCAAAAGGTTGCAGTTTGTTGGTAAGGGATAACACTGGCATAGCTATTTTCCCAAATGTTCATTTATCATATATTTCATCAACAATTCTCCATTTAAATTGCCTGATATGGACATTTGTAAGTATTTATGTTCACAGATACCTAGAATTACTTGACCTGGTATTTTCACACTTAAATTAATTAATCACTGGAATTCAATCTATTGCAATGTAAGGTGACCTGCATTTGCTACAAGCCAAGGAGTATGGCATTGCTGTTTTCTAGATTAAGACATAGGTAAGTGAAGAAAAGCACGATTAGTTCAAAGTATAATGAGCATCCTTACTTACATACATTGAGTACTTGTTTAGAAATCTTAATTTTGATTTTGTTACCTTTTCAAGAGAATCAGCTTTGTTCTCCCACAGATTGCGTTTATTGGCTACATCTCCTGGTCTGATATCCTGAAAACACAAATCAACATGGTTTACCTTTGTGCACCAATTCACAACATCATTCCAATACTGGGAGTTTTTGCGGTTAAAGCACAATATGTACAAACTTGAATTAATGAAGAAAGTAAACATCATCAACTACATTTGTTGTGCAGTGCTGTAATTGTTGTTTTCAGTGGCAGTGTTCTTTCTGTAAGTTTTTAGAAAAATTTTACATTTTAATTAGTTCTTTTCCTGCAGTATGTCCACTAAAGTGATTTTTTTTCTGTTTCTCTCCAGCGTTTCAGCACACTTCTGTGTGGTAAGTAAGCAAGACAACCTTCCATCCATTGACCCCATCTATACTTCCCGCTGCCTTGAGAAGGCAGCCAATATCATTAAAGACCCCTTCCACCTGATTATACGTTCTTCCAACCTCTTCCGTATGGCAGAAAATACAAAAGTTTAAACACATATACCAACAGATTCAAGTACAGCTTCCTCCCCGCTGTTTTTAGACTTCTGACTAGACCTCTCAAATTTTAAATTAAATGTTGATCTCCCTCTTGTGCACTTTCTTTGCAGCCATAACACTGTATTCTGTGCTCTGTTCTATTATTCTAATGCACACTCTATGGTATGATCTACCTGTACTGCACGTAAAAACAAAACCTTTCCCTGTACCTAGGTACATGTGAGGATAATAAATCAAATCAAAATAATCAAATTATTTTCTATCTTAAAACATAGATCTGTACACCACAGGAACAAGCCTTTCAGCCCACCATGTCTGTGATTTATGCGTTTGCCATTCTAAACTACTCCCACCTGCCTGAATATGGTTCATATCCCTCTATTCCCATTCTGTTCATGTCTGTCTAAATGCCTCTTACACTTTACTATTGTAACTTCTATCAGCCCCCAGCAGCACATTCCAGGGATCTACCATCATTTGTGTAAAGAAACTTGCCTCGCACTTCTCTTTAAACTTTTCACCTCTCCCTTTAAATTAATGCCCCTTAGTTATCTTGGTTATGTCTCTGCTGAACTTCTAGTAACCACCAATGACAGTTTTCATTCATATTGCTTCTTTAACCTTCAAAGCATTTACAAGGTACCTTTTGGGTATCAAAACATAAGAAAGAAGAGATTAAAACTAGGTTGAAAATATGGGTTTTTTTAATGCCTTTTTGAATCAGGAAGTCCTTAAAAGATCAGAGAGATTTTCAGAGAACAGGTGACTAACAGCCCTGCTTCAAATAATGTGGTGAGTGGAAGAGTGTTGGAAGACTGCCAGAGTGGGAAGATCAATCAATGTAGAAAGCTATATGTATTCAAGAGATTGAGTGTGCTGAGGAATGACAGGATTTGGGGTGAAAACTAATGATTTTATCTCAGGAAAAGCTTGACTACCAAATCCTGAGTCTAACTCCTGAGTAACTATTCAAGTGACCACCCCCACACTCCCTACTAACTGCACAGTGACACAACCATATCAGACCCTCTCCTCCACTGCCCCATATCTCCCACACTTCTGGATCTGATAACTCCTGCCCACCTTGTCCTACGCTAAATACTTCATCACTTACATGGGCTTCTTGTCACCTTGTGCCCTCACATTTAACCCACTCAACACCTTAAAATCCTATTTAACTTATGTACTTATCCTTTCACAGGAGCTGTCAAAGTGGCTGTCTACGCTGCTTGACCTTTAAATCACAGAATATTACAATTGATTGCTGTGAAAAAAGGAGCATAGTTTCCCTTCCCTCAAGTGTTCTACACTGCAAGAGATCTGTCAGAATGGAAATACAGCTCCACATTTCTGAAGGAGCCCTGATTTCCTGTGCAGAGCTCCTTCACTACATAAAAAATGGAGCAGAGTACAGAGTGCAATCTATCTGTGATTGTCACTCTTTGGTAAATCCAACCTGCCAAGCCCAAAATAAAAGAGAGTTGGTGCAGGAGGATGTCATGCCATAATAGGTGTTGTAAAAATATTGAAAAAAAATATTAAAGTCAGTGATTATACAACATAGATTGAAATAATAAACATGGTTTACTGTTTTACTGAGGATGGCCTGAATCACTTCCTGGCTAATTTGAACATTTTTGGGACTCAATGGAAGAGCTTTGTTCAGATTTCTTTTTCAGTGGGGAAAAAAAGTTGATGGGAACTCAGGATGGCACAGTGGTACCATGCAATGATGCCCTATAAGTGAAATAAAGCTGAAAGTAATTGTTGACAGCTCACAAGCAATGCCATAACTTATAATCCTAATATGGTAGACAGTCAGCAAAAGAGCAGAGCAAGCATCACAGAAACAGCTTAGATGGTGGATGAGATGTGACAGCTGTACTCGAAGCCAAAGAACATTGCAAAGTTGAGAATGTTGGTAGTAAAAGCAAGTCTAAAAGGTAAAGCCACAAAAAATGTGAGAAGCGATACCTTTGAGGAAGACTTGAGAGAAATGTTTAAAAAAAACATGGTTTTGAAGAACAGTGATTTTCCCTGTAGTACCGAATTCTGCAAATATGAGGGCACTGGGAATTTTATGAAAAACTTGCACTGATGTGACACCTCTCAAATCCTTGAGACATCTAAACATGATTGCTTGTAAAATGTAGTCACTGTTGTGATTAACATTTTGAGGGCAGCTGGAAGCTACAGTGCCATGATTAGATAAGGAAGGAGGGAATAGCAGAAGATATTTTCAAATAGAAAATGGTCTACAGCAGCACAGCCAGATAGTTTTAGGATGAACATTGGAATTCAAATTAAAAAGCACAAGTTTAAACCTGTTTGTGCATAACCCACAGAAGGAATATTTGATTGTAACAGAGACAGTACCTGGAAACTGACAGGAACAATGAGGAAGAAAAGTATCTGAATTAATCACACAAATGCATTTCTCATCAATTATAATGTGGACACACCAATGTTACCTGGAATTATCTTGCCATTATCTCTTTGCCTATATATTCTGTGCCTGTGCACTTCCCTCCACTTCATCTGATGACTCCTAAAGCTTTTGATTTTAAATAAACCTGTTGGACTATAACTTGGTGTTGTGTGACTTCTGACTTCATCAATTATTCAGACAGCATCACTGAAAATATTCAAGTCAGAACTTAATGGTCTTTGTGTCTTGTCCTTCTAATGGAAAGGGAAATGTTTGATATATTTTGAATGTTATTGACACTAAAGTGAGCTATTAAACTATGGAATAGTCACCAAAGTATGCAAAATACAAATAACAAAAATGAAACTCTACAGTAGTAATAAAAAGAACGTGTGATTATCGGATCTTTTCTGACAAATCTTAAATAAACATTTAGATAACTGGACTAGTCAACAATCTAATTATTAACAATCACAAATTGCTCGATTAGGATGCTAATCATTGTTTGTTACCTGATCATGGAATCTGCATTGATCAACCATTGACTGCGTTTGATTGCACCATTCTTCTGAATTCTCTCTTCAATGCTCAGATTTTCTGTTTTCTTCAGAATCTTTGGTCTTTTTTTCTTCCTTCACATTCCCTCAACTTTTCTTTTTTCATTTTTTTCACTTATTTTGCCTGACTTTTCTATCTCTTTCCATCCAGTCTATCCCAGTCACTTTTGATCTGCTTTTCTATGTCTTGACGTACTTCAGCTTGAAACTCAGACAGTGCTACTACTTATGTTAATACTGCAATTGGTTGTGTTGCATTTGAACGCTGATAATAATTTATTGTAATATAGAATGAGCATGATAATGTAGCAAAATTAATGGACATTTAAGGCACCAACATTAGATCTGATGCTCCAAAATTATGTCAAAGACATTCAGTGAAAATTGTATTGCAATCTATCTTTCTAATTTTGCAAAGATGTACTTTAAGTCTTACCTTAATATAAAGGACAAATGATGGAACTTTCATGGACCAACATCATTTGAAGCAATAATTATAAAATGGAGAAAATAATGAACAGCCCAAGATCGCTACCTTACATCCAAATGTTTTTCTGGATTCCTGAGGTCTACTGACCCATTGGTTGATGCGAACAGCAACCCTCACATAAAGGCCTACTGTTTCCTATCATTATAGATAATGATAGAATTAGATGCAATGGTACAATAAATGCATCTTAGTAGAAGCTGCTTAGTGTGATCATTGGTATGTGGAACTGTGCGGTTGGTGCGATTCTTCGCAAAATGACTTTTAACGAGTAAGATATGGTTAAGAATAGTACGTGATCACCTTTCCTTGTGAAGTGGACTGGTGTGATTAACCCATGACCATTTAGCTTTGCAATATGCATGCAGGTTTTACCCAAGGGCTAGGAACAGAAATGTTTTGCAGGTAAAAGAAACAGTAAGTGAAACAAATAAAGTATGTGCTGCTACAGTCTATTGCAGCTCAATAGAAATCAATATACATTCAGAGCATTGTATCTGTAATTTACCTCAAATAGCAATTCAGTTTAGTTTTATTACTTGGCATTTTATATCAACTCAAAAGTTCCCGACAGTGATCACACTAAGTGGCTCCGACCATCATTCAACTTCTGAGACTATCATTCAGCTACACCTCATGCTCGTTGCTGTACTTTACAAACAAAATTCCAGTGACATAGATTAATATCAGACCTGTATGGTGTAGCATGCAATGTACTCTGACACTTCTCTTCATTTTAACAGCCAAATAGGCATATGTGTTCTTGGCAAATATGGTTGTGAGAATTAGAGTGCAAGGAATTAGTTATACATTAAAGTTAGCATTGAAGCTGCTCCAGTAAACAGGCAAGCAGTTCAGATATGTATTCACAAATACTATGAAAAAAAACTACAGTAATATATTAATAAAGTCACAGTATTTAATGCAAAATTGGTATTCTATTTATTTTCCTCCCAACTATTGTTACCTTTTCAGTCAACCATAACATTGTCTAGTTTCCACTTTTATCAAAAACTCATTGAATCCACACGGACTTGAATGCAACACCGACTTAGAGGATTAAGGCAGCTATATACACAACATGAGATCCACCACTGTCAATGTTCTGGTTCTGAATGTCATTCCAATTTTTTCCAGGCATGGCTTAGAGGTAGTACTTTTGCCTCTGAGCTTTAACATTAAGAATTTAAATCCCATCTGAAACCTCTATCCTGTAGTGAAGCAGCACTGGTGTTGAAGCCATCTTCTAAGTAAGTTGTTGAACTGAAATTTAGATCATTTTCACAGATGAATTGAAGAATTCCCATTACACTAATTTGATGATGATCAGGTCAGTATTTATTTTTCAATTAACATCATAAATACAGACTAATTGATCATCACATTGTGTAAATGAGACCTAGTTGTGCATAAATTGACATCTGTATTTTGGAGATTGCAGAAATGACTGCACTTCAAAAGTATTAAAATGACCAGTAAGTGCTTTGGACCTTCTGAGGCCATGAGCAGCACCTTAATAAATCTTTATTTGGTCTTACACAACTTGAGTATTGCTGAGAAAAGTCACATTTTGTCAAAGTGCTTTTACCTTCCGTTCATCAAGACAATTTACAAGAATACCATTTTAACAGGAAAGCCAACATTTTACCATATGAGAGGAGACTGCTGATTGTTTGTCAAGTGGACTCTGACTCGCAGAGGTTTTGCCATGGAGAATTGTCAATAAATGATAATTGGTAGTTAATTGCCAGGTTTTGTTTATATCTTAAACTAGGCAGGTTGTTGCTGATTGCCTGAGAAATGAAGCAATGTCTTGACTAGTGAGTGACAGTCACCAATTTTGCTGAGATGAAACAAACACAGTACATGTCTAAGTACATGCATATTTTTGATCTGTATTCACATATTTAGCTGCCAGTACTCAAGTACGTCACACTAACAGCCCAACTGACAACACTAAACATTCAGGATCATCCAGAATATACTGTCTAAATGTAGCATCACATCTAATGTTGGACACGACTCTTTGCAGACATAAGGTACTTGTTTCAACTCAACAAAATTTTGACAACTATTTGCTGTTCACTGTCAAGATGCTTGGTGTAAAATTTAAAGTCTGGCAGTTAACTGTCAATTATTGTCAACTAGTGCATTCTCCATGGCAATATCTCTGCCAATCAGAATTTTCTTATACTGTATAATGTTGTTTTTCCCATTAAATTGGTATTCTTTCTACTTGTGCTGATGAGTGCAAGATGAAAAGTCTTGACAAATGTGACTCTTTCAGCAAGAGTCTATAATGTATAACTTTGTCTTCCCTGTCAGTTTCAAATCTCATTTAATAGGAAATCAGTGCCCTTGTCTTCCACATTTTACATAAAGGTGAAAACTCCTCTTAGTTTATTCATCGATGCTCTTGTAGGAGATTTGGATAATACTACTGCAAATTCCATTTTATAATTTCATGTTGGATTGAAATTTTAAGTTTATGTCTTAGCCATTAATCGGGCCCAGTTTGAATTTCTGTTGGCTGAGTAAGGCAATTAAATAGTTGAAAGAAGGCTAAGCATCACACTCACAGTAGATGTCTAGGTATTGGCTTGTCTTGTTCAAAACAAATAGCACATTTGCTTTAATTACATTCAGTGTAATTTAAGGCCTTTGTCAACTTTAAGGAAATCACCAAACGTTTGAACCCAGCAACTGGAACTTAGTATGAATTTAAACTAAAAAAAATCCATCTTGGCTGTATCCAAGATCTACAGGATTACAGATGACAGTCTCCAGGCAATTCAATGTGCTCCAGTTCACATTGAGGAAAGACTGTAAGCATTGGATACCGCAAAGATTGGGCATTCTGACAACATTCCAACAGTGGCACTGAAGAGTTGTCTTTTATCATCTGGTTTGATGCCACAGAATGAGTCCAGGTTCATGACTGATAGGTCAAGGAGAAGGCAAAGTTAAAAACAATTTTCCAGCTTGTTTATTATACATTAATACTAAATACTACAACACACAATAAACATAGCTATACCAGTTATAGTTATGTTAGGTAAATCTAATCCGTCTTCTTTGTGTGTCCACGGCAATGTGCTCTCAAGAATTATTCTCATTCTAATGTTGCAGTCTGATGGTATACATCAGTGTTTTAACTCCAATCACTTTGTGCCATTTACACTCAGCGACATACAGCCACTTGATATCATCACAATGTTGCCCTTATAAATCAACATGGACTCCAGAACAAGTTGTGCACCTGGCCAAGCTGTTTCAGTATAGCTACAACACTGGCATTTGTCCTGCACATTGGAAAATTGCTCAGTTATGTCTTCCTCACAAAAAGCAGGAAAGGTCCCTCTCTACTAGATTACTCTTCATCATCAGCAAAGTATGGGAATGCGTCATAACTATATTATGAAGCAGCACTTGCTCAGCAATAACCTGCTCCTCAAGAGTCAGTCTGAGTTCTGCCAGGGTGACTCAGTTCTTGACCTCATTACAGCCTTTGTCCAAACATAGACAAAGAGAACTGAACTCAAAAGAAGAAGTGAAAGTGACCACCCTTGTAAGCAAGGCAGCACTTGATTCAATGTGGCACCCTTGATCCCTAGGAAAACTGGAGTCAATGAAAGTCGGTGGAGATAAAAAAAACTTGGTTGGTTGGAGGTATAAAGAGCACAAAGGGAGATAGTTGTGGCTGTTGAAGGTCAATCATCTCAGTCCCCTGACAGCATTACAGATAGCAACCTGGGCCCATTGATTTTCAGCTGCTTCATCAATGATGTTCTCGCACCGTAACAACAAAAGTGGGGATGTTTGCTGATGATTGCACAACATTCAGCATGTTTGTAATTCCATAGATACTGAAACAATCAGTGTTCATATGGACCAAAACTTGGACAGCATCCTGTTAAATGATAACATTCATGCCAAACAAATATTAGGCAATGATCATCTTCAACAAGAATATAAACATATTCCGTTGATATTTAGTGATATTATCATCACTGAATCACCCATTATCAAAATCTGGGGGACTATCACTGACTAGAAACTGAACTGGACCACCATAAAAATACTATAACAACAAGAGTGGGTCATATGGTGGGAATTCCTAACAAGTAAATTACCTTCTGCTTCTGTAAAGCCTACACCTGCAAGGTGTAATCCTAGAGCTTGATGAAATACTCTTCAATTATCTGGATAATTCCAACTCAAACAGCACATAAGAAGCTTATCGGCATCCAGGGCAAAGCAGTTTGCTTGATTGATGCCCTATCCTCTATTTTAAATATTCACTATCTACCAAAGTTAGCTTTAGACAGCACCTTCCAAAGCCACCATCATCGCCATCCACAAGGACAAGAGCAGCCCATGCAGGGAAGCCCCACCACCCGCAAGCTCCTTCCAGGCTCACTTGAAATTGCATTGCTGATTCTTCACTGAGGCTGGATCAAACAGCAATGTGAATGTACCTACACCACGTGAACAACAGCAGCACTAAAAGGCTGCTCACAACCACTTTCTAGGGGTAAGTAGAGAGTGGTAATAAATGTATCCATGGCCAGAAATGCCCAAATTCCATGTGGGATTTTTGTTTTTTTTTTTAAGAAACATGTTTCTTAATTAGAGATAACAAAGTGTAGAGCTGGATGAACACAGCGGGCCAAGCAGCATCATAGGAGCAGGAAGGCTGACGTTTCGGGCCTAGAGACTTAGGTGTGCAAATGCAAATAAACCATATCATAAGGACTGAACAACAATATTTCATGAAGATATTTTACTAGAAATTCCCATCAATATTTGTTCTTCATTACCACAATATCCACAGGAATAGATTAATTGTTAAGTGGGATAGACCTTTGGTTGCATATCTACTATGTATCAGCAAGGAGGTGTCATTTGTTTGCAATGGAAATATGAGATGAGCATTTACCTCAGCCTGTATGATTCTCGATTCAAAGGTGGGGTGACACCTGATGACTGTTGCATCAAGCCAAAGAAAAGTGGTAATTTAGACAATTACCTAATAAGGAATAAGATAGTTGGAATTAGGGCGATAAGAGCCCATGGTATTGGGAGTAGCATTTTAGCACGGATAGAGGGTTAGTTAACTAACAGAAGACAAAGAGTTG